CCCCCAGTCGCAGCCTGGGAACCGTGTGCAGCCATCCTCCCTGGCAAGGCTGGGAGAACAGGCAGCCACTGCCGTGTATCAGATCTCATACTTGCTGACACAGACCTGATGGCTCCTCTTGCCGCTGCCCCATTTTCCCCCAGCAGAACCTTGCTCAAGGGACCCTGCAGCTCTGGCAGGTGCCAGCAGGCCCCCCACCTCCAAAGGAGGGCCCAAGCTTTGGCCCTGACCAGTTTCTCTTTCCATTTGTAATCAGCAAGGTAAGGGTAGGACAAGTCACTGTTAACTGGCCTTGGACTTTGGCCTGAGCTCTATAGCTCCTCCTTGGCCGGGTGAGGGGCCCTGGCCTTGGTTTCTGATCTCATCTAACACTGTTCTCTGGCAATGGCTGGGGGCTGGGACAAGGCTGAGCTGCTTTGCCCTCCCCCACCCCAAGCTTTATTTTCATGTCCAGCCTGAGATGAGGGATAAGGAAGCAGGAGACCAGCTGTATTATTTTGGAGACACTTTTTTTGTGAAAGCTTACAGTCTTCTGGTCCAGAAAGGGAAGAAGCCCCGGGTCAGTGATCTCTTCTCAGGTGACCAGTTTTCTGGACAGCAAAGGTTGAGCAAGTCTGTAGCTGGGAGCTCTCCTTGACCAAACAGGGGAGAGGGCTCCTAACCTGAAGGAAGAGTGTGTGACAGACCTCCATGAAGAGCCACGCCTATTTTGTAGCAACCTGGAACAACAGGGTGACAGTGCCTCATCTGACTCTTCCAGCTCTTTGGTGGGGAATAGCAGACCCGGTCCTTCAGAGCCGCTCTTGGGCTTTCTGCAACCTGTCTCATCTCCTTACAGTGCTGCCCAGAGGTGGAGGGAGCTGGGCTTCCCACAGAGTGGGGCTGTGCAGTGGGTGGGAAGGCCCCTGACTGGGCTCACTTTTTCCATTCTAGGCCAGGGGAAGAGAATGAAAAGCAGATGGAATGGCAGCTTCTCTCTGTTCTTCCTCTCCCCCCTCCCCCAGCATTGCCTGGCCTGGTAACCAGAAGCCCATCCCATCTTCTCACTCCTCTCCCCCCCACACACTCCCTGCCCACCCCCACCACCAGCAGCTTCCTCAGGTGTCAGGACCCAGGGGATGGGCCCGGGGCTTCTTTGCCTGTAAGAGCCAGGGCAGCAGATGAGCAGGGGGCTGGTGGGCCTAAGGCTGTTGGGTTGGTATTAAGGAGCCCACAACCCTGAGTCTTTTCTGACAGCCATGCAGAAGAATCTCCATTTGGCCTTCTAATCTTCCCTTAGACTTTGGACTTTTCCAGAATGTGCATGTGTGGTGTTTTTTCTTCTGTACCTTCCTCTTCCCCATTTCTCAGCCATCTCCCTTCTGTCATCCTCACTTTGATTTCCCCTCCCATTCTGACTATTGGGAGCTTGGTCTTGAGTTCCTCTAACCTTAGAGTAAACAACTTGTATTTAATACATATTGTGTGTGTGTGTGTGTGTGTGTGTGTGTGTGTATGTACATGTTTACGTGTATGTATATTTTTTTAAAGACTGGGATGACCGTCCATGCAGGCAGGTTTGTTCCTGTCCTCTGATGGAAGCTCTGGAACCTCTGTGTGCAAATACACACAATAGTTTACTTCACTTTTTAGAGCTTTCAAACTCAAGGCTGGAGTCCTGTTGTAGATTTGGAGCCCTTTCCCCTAATTGTGAAAGTAAGGGGGAAAAGGGGAACAGTCATGTGGACCTGCAGCAGTCCAGAGATGGTGGGGCCTTCTTGGCAACATTTACAAAAAGCAGGAAAAATTTGTCTTCTAGCTGCCTATGGCTAGATACTGAGATTCAGCCTCTATTTCTCTCCCTCCCCCAGGCCTTCTATACCCAGATTCCCAGCACACCAGTACAAGAAGAACTGTGCCCTGTGTCTTCCTGACCCCATCCTCAAGCCCTTCTTGCAGCAAGAGCTGCCTGCTGTGATTGGCCAGGTCCCAGAGTGGCCCAGGCTGGAACGGGTTAAAAACTGCAGCACTTAAGCAAGACTTCAGTCCTTTGCTGCTGTCGCTGCTGCCTGCTGCAGTCCCTTAACGGACATTTGTCCCTTCTGCCCCAAAGAAACAGAACCAAGTGGTGCCCTGCACCTACCCTGTGCTCAGGGGGGTGAAGCAGCCACCTTCAGCCTGACCAGGGTTGCTTCAGGCACCAGAGTAACTCAAAGAACCAGTTAAGAAAATTTTTGCTTCTTGAGTCCACCTGCCTGATCCTAGCACATCCAAATAGGTGACACAGAAACTAGCTAAGATAGCCTCAGACATCTTTTCTCTGCCCTATCCGAGGACTGGCCTGTTTCAGTTTAGAACCTTCTAGAGCTGCTTGATTAGCCTCTAGGGCAGCCACTCCCTTCACACAGCCTCTGGGGCTCAGAAGCAAGTGAACCTGTGCCATGCCATGCCAGTGTGGCTGATTCCAGGCTTGAGCAGGCATTTCTCCCTACCCATGGGAGCTTAATTAGGCCCTGCACGAGGCAATGTGGGTTTCCAGACCACCCTAGTACCCAACTTATGAATCTCTAGACTTTTTCCCAGGCCCAGTTCTGCCTGTGATTTGCATACACCTCACTTGCCCAGTAGGAGTGCCAGAGGGGCCTGGCTGAATGGGGCTGCCTGGTCCAGTGACTGACTTTCCTTCCTGCTTTTCCAGGCTGACCAGCTAACTGAGGAGCAGATCGCAGGTGAGTCTCTTAACCCTCTTCCCCTTTGTGTTTCCTCAGGAAAGCTTCTGTATCCCCTGTCAAATCCTACCTCTGCTAGGACTGACATCTGATAGATGATAGATGAACATGTGCCCTCATTCTATGCCTTGTGTTGGAATATGGATAAACGTACCTAAGAGCATACCTAGCACCCCATATGCCAATGCCATGGTCCCAAGACACATCTTCCCCAGGCAGCAAAGACCATGCTTCTCCTGGGTGCCGATTATTTGGGGCTTTGACATCAGTGGCTACAGGATGAGTTCCACTCTCTTCCAGCTCCAGCCAGGTGAGCTTACAAGGTGAGCTCCTTGCTGGGCTTGGTGGCACACGCCTGTAATCCCACCGGCTTGGGAGCCTGAGGCAAGAGGATCGTGAGTTCAAAGCCAGCCTCAGCAACTTAGCAAGGCCCTAAGAAATCCAGTGAGATCCTGTCTCTAAATAAAATATAAAAAAGGGCTGGAAGCGCTGGGGATGTGGCTCAGTGGTTGAGTCCCCTGAGTTTAATCCCTGGTACCAAAAAAAAGAAGGTGAGCTTGCTTCCCTGTGGGCTGTGGAGCTCCTGTCCCACTTTGGGAGCTGCCCAAGAGATGGCTCGTCACGCCCACCTCTGTGCTTTCCTGGCTTTGCACTTCCTTTTGCACATGCTTGCACTTTTTCCTCTGCCAGAAATGCTTCTCTTCCTATGCATGAGCAGCTCTTCCTCCTTCTGGTTTCATCTCACACGTCGCCTTAGAAAGGCCTTCCCTGACCTCCTGACTCTCGTAGGCATGCTCCTTCTACTCTGTACACATCACTCTCTTTATGTCCCCCTTGTCCTTTCTTGCTATCTGCAGTTATTTTATCATGTTTGTACCCAGTGTATCTTCTGTCACTGGAAGTGAATTCCTTATGTTCAAGACTTAAGTCTTATTGGTCTCTGCCATATCCTCAGTGCCTGGAACATAGTAGGTGCTCTATAAATTCTTGCTAGCTAAATAAACAATCACATGTCTCCCAGTAAGCCAAAAGATATTCCTGGAGCCCATCTAATTAATTTTTATAGTCCCCCCTCAAAGAAAAAAAAAAAACAAGGTCATCTATAGGAACTATTATGTGATTATTTTTTCCCCATCCTCTGGCTGAGCTGCCTGTGGATCTTAGAGACCAATTCTTGGTTTTTCCCCAGCCATGGGCTGGCACAAGTAGAAGAGAAGTTTCAGAGAACTGGCCCTTGGCCCTGCCTTACCCACACCGTAGCTTTGCTGTCAGGATCAGCTGAGCCTCTGAAGCAAGAAGAGGCAGGAATGGACATCCCTCTCTCCTTTTCTGCTGCCCCCAAAACACAGTCACACTTTTAGCTTTGTAACTTTGGCCCTAGGCATGTGGAGACCCCCTGAGAAAAGCCAGAGAACTGCTTTGCTGTTTACTGATCCCAAGCCCAGGAGGCCACATGACCCAGTCCCTGCTGCCCGACTCCCAGCAGCAAGTCCTTGGCACAGGGAGATGACAGCATCCCCTAGGAGACTTGGATCATTTCCCCAGGACCCAGAAGCTGGAGGTCACAGCTGCCCAGCGGTGGGTGTGCCGCCCATCCCACCTGCCACCCACAGTCCAACCTTCTACTCTCCTGCAACACAATCACACACTCCTCTCTTTACCCTTTCCCCATTAACACACTGTCCACCACCTCACCCCAGCCCACACCCTCTGGGAATAGGCTGTCAGGCATCTGTTCTCTGAGGGTTTGGGGTAGGAGAGCACCAGGTGCCAAAATGGGCCCAGTGGGAGGGCAGAGCCACGTGCTTCCCTCCCTGCTCAGCAAACAGCATCTCCCCACTCCTGATGCGTCCCCAGCTGTGGCCTTCCCACTCAGCACCACTCACTGCTCATCCTCCTAACTTGGCAGCCGTCCCCTCAACTCCCATCCCCTCCACCCCACGCACCGTCCGTCAGCCATGCTCTGTTGTGGACCACCCCCACGCATCACCACCCCCACAGGCTCAGCTCCTCCTCTGGAAGTGGGCAGCACCCACAGCAAAGAAGGGCTAGCAGTGCCTGTCAGGAGGAATCAGTGCCTGCATTTCTTCTTCAGGCTAGCCAAAGGCATTCCAGCCTCCCCTCCCGTCCCCTCCCCTCCGGTTGACCTTGGCTAGCATACTTCAGATGAATTCTCTTGGCTCTCATCCACTCTATGACTTTGGTCCATTTCATCATTTGAGAGTGAGGCCAAAGCCAGGGACCAAAAAGAAATGGAAAATTCTGTAAGGATAGCTGTCAGCTCGTGGTCCCCAGTATCCTCACTGAGCTTGAATGGCTGAAGACATCTCCTGCTGCAGAGTTACCATAACTGTCCAATGAAGGAAGCAAGGGCCTGGCCCTGAGGACGGAGGCTGGCATGAACTTGCAGTCTGGCTCAGTTTCTGTAGGTGGGACCAGCTCCCTTGGCCTTCCTCAAGGGAGGGAGTCCCTGTAGCCTCTTGATCACAGCTCATTCCCTTTCTTCCCCCAGAGTTCAAGGAGGCCTTCTCCCTCTTCGACAAGGATGGAGATGGCACTATTACCACCAAGGAGTTGGGGACAGTGATGAGATCCCTGGGACAGAACCCCACTGAAGCAGAACTGCAAGACATGATCAATGAGGTGGACGCAGACGGTGAGGCCCTAGGGAGTGGGTGGACAGCCCCACTCCAGGTCACCCCTGCTGACCACAGGAAACCTTCCTTAGGGCAATGGATGGACCAATAGCTCCTCTACCAGGGCTCTAGTATTACCTAGGGCCAAGGTCAAGGGCATAATCCCCTCTCTTCTCTGCCTTCCAGGAAACGGGACCATTGACTTCCCGGAGTTTCTGACCATGATGGCCAGAAAAATGAAGGACACAGACAGTGAGGAGGAGATCCGAGAGGCATTCCGCGTCTTTGACAAGGTGAGCAGTGCCTTCCCAGTGCAGTTCTGAGACCAGTTCCAGCCTTCCAGTGATCAGAGCAAAACCAGAGCAACCAAGCCACCACTCCCAGGGAACCTGGGTCCCAGCACCGGCCCCCTGCCACCACCACCTGCTCTGCACTCTCAGATAGCCCCCTTCACTCTGCCTGCTGCCACTCTCTACCAAGGAAGCCAAGTGAAAGCCTTTGTCCCCAACCCCCAGGATGGGAATGGCTACATCAGTGCCGCAGAGCTGCGTCACGTAATGACGAACCTGGGGGAGAAGCTGACCGATGAGGAAGTGGATGAGATGATCAGAGAGGCTGACATCGACGGAGATGGCCAGGTCAATTATGAAGGTGAGCCAGTCCAGCCTGTGTACCTTGTGCCAGGGAGGGCCGCTCAGGCTCAGCCCTGCTCACCGGACTTCTCCCTTTCTGTCCGCAGAGTTTGTACAGATGATGACTGCAAAGTGAAGGCCGCGGGCAGCTGGCGATGCCCGTTCTCCTGATCTCTCTTCTCGCGCGCGCTCTTCTCTCTTCAACACTCCCCTGCGTACCCCGGTTCTAGCAAACACCAATTGATTGACTGAGAATCTGATAAAGCAACAAAAGATTTGTCCCACGCTGCATGACTGCTCTTTCTCCCTCCTCCCCGTCCTCCCCTCCATGTCCCTCATGGCTTCCTTCTGCCCTCCCTGTTCCATTCACACCTTCCAGGCCTGATGCATTCATAAGATGAACCCACGCCCCTTGAGGGAGCCTGTGCCCTCCTCCTCCAGCCCGGGTGGCTCTCCTCTGTTGCCGTTTGTTTCCTTTTGTTTGTCCTCTTATTTTGGGTGCTGGGGTGGCTGTCAGCCCTGTCCCAGACCTGCTGGGGGGGCGGTGAGGCCCTCACCCAGGCAGAAGAGCATGCCCTTTGCCACTGCATGCAACCAGCCCTGTGGCTCCGTGTGTAAATCCCAGCAGCCTGTGGGGCAGGGATGCCAGGAGAGGTGTTCTAGGACTGAGGGGGGATCCAGGAACTGTGGCGTCGACTGGATGTGGCCCAGGAGTGGGGCAGGGGCAAGGAGGCCTTGGAAGCTGGCGTGCTTATACCCGAGGGGGGGGCCCACTTGGAGGGGATAGACAGTGGACAGCACTCAGGTCTTGCTGGCTGCTGTTCCAAAACCATCTGATTGGCTTTCTGGGGTTGGCCTGGGTAGGGGACTGTTCATTTGGCCACTCTGCAGATCACATGTGCCCGTGTCCCCCCAGTGATCTCGAGCTGTTCTGTAAATACCTGGTGCTAACATCCCATGCCGCTCCCCCTGTGGCGCACCCGCCCTGAGGGCCCGTCTAGGAATGGATGTGGGGATGGTCGCTCTGTAATGTGCTGGTTATCTTTTTTTTTTTTCTCGTTTATGCTCCTTAAAAATCTTCATTTTGCCCCAAACCATGCCGGGCCAGCTGAAGGGTGGGGAGAGGGCAGATGAGCCCCACCACGCTCTCACAAGAACAAACCTGCAATAAAACAATCCAGCTGCCCGCTGCGCAGAGCACGCAGCGAGGGCAGCCTCTGCCTCCTGCTCGGCCGGCACCTCCCGCTCTGCCCCTCGCTCCTGTGGTGACTTGGCGCTGCTTCTCACCTCTGCGCTGCCTCAGCCTCTGCCCTCGCCCCCGCCTGCCCCGCATTTCCCAGCGGAGAGCATGATCCGCACCCCGGCTTCTGCCTCTCGCCTCTGGGACAAGTCAGTCAACGTGGGCAGTTCAGTCTGGGTTCTTTTCCTTTCTCTGTTCTTTTCATCCGGCTCCCCCACCCCAGGTTGATCAGGTGGTTTTTCCTGGGACCTGCCCAGTTTTGAGACTTCTCTGCCCTCTGGTACCAGCCTCCGAGGAAGGGAGGGCGGGCATAGCGGGAGACCAGCCAAGAGCTGAGGGCAAGGGCAGGGAGGCGTGAGGCTGTGGACATTTTTGGAATGTTTTGTTTTTGTTTTTTAAACCGGGCAATATTGTGTTCAGTTCAAGCTGTGAAGAAAAATATATATCAATGTTTTCCAATAAAATACAGTGACTACCTGACCCGGCTCTTCCCTCCTGTCTTGGTCTGGGCCTGCCCCACTGGGACTTGGCCCTGCCACTGAAGAGCCTTCCCAGTGTTCCCAGGGCAGCGAAGCCTGGATCCTAGCCTGGCTGCAAGGTGGTCGAGGGCAGGGTGTCCGCAGGCCACCTGGGTGCATGCATGGACCCATGGGACAGGCAAGAGGGGGAACTAAGGCAGCTTCAAGGCAGGTACGTGGTGCCACAAGAGCACCCAAGGACTGCACGCAGGACTGAGGTGAAGCCTGGAAGTCGAGCCAGCGGCTAATGGGAGGAAGGGTGTTGCAGCCAGAGGGAACAGCATCTGTGGAAGCCCTGCGGCAGGAGGAACAGGAGACATCAGGAAACTGAAAACTGGTCAGGCTGAGTGAGCCTTGAGACAATGAGGCAAGAGCCCTATGGCGGTAGTCTTGACAAGGCGCTGGGGGCCGGGGCGGGGTCGGGGGATGGCCTTCACTGATGTCCATCAGGCAGACTGAAAGCCACATTGGGATCTGCAGTGTTGAGAACAAGACAGTCCTGGGCGCATAGCAGGGTGTGGGCTTGGGGGTCAAAGACTTGAAACAAAAAGCTCCAGGTCATCGCCAACTTCCAAAAGCTTGCTAACTTCCTATGGTAAGTAGGGACTCAGAAATGAAGACCTCCCAAGCCCCCCGGGCTGTGCCAAAGGGATGCATCCGGCCCTCAGGGACCTTCCCAAGGTAAATGCTCCCACAGCTCTCCCTCTGATGGCCTGGGCTGCAGGGTGAGCACAAGCGATCTCTAACCCTTGAGCTTCCCACCCTCCTGCGGCTGAGCAGGAGTAGAATGGACAGTTGGTGGAAAGGGAGTTTCCTCTTCACCTGTCCTTGAATTGATGGTGAAGCAACAGGCCAGAGGCATCGTCAGGCAGAGCCCAGCCTCAGGGGCCTTCCTATGGCGCAGTAGGCCTCGCTGGCTTTTCCCAGTGTGTCCAGTTGTTGGAGTCCAGCAGTGGGTGGAGAAGTTGGGCGTGGCAGCCATTTTTCCAGAACCCTATTTCCATGCCCGTTTCCTGCCGCCTGGTCCGTGATGTGATGCAGTAGACAGTGGAGTGGAGTGGGTAAGAACCGGGGGCCCTGTGGCCTCCAGCCCTGCCCACAGGTGTGTGGTGGGACCTCCTGTGGTGGGCTGTGGGTTGGATGGGGCAGTAGGGAGACAGCCTGATGTCCTGGCCAAGTGCTCACTAAGCATCACCATTATTTATTAGTTCTTCCTACTTCAGAGACTATCTCTGCATCCAGCACCTCAGGGAAACCTTAGAGCAGCTCTTTGGGTGGGTGCCATTAGGCCCCCTCCCATGCTGACTGGGAAGCTGGGGCCCAGAGTAGGGAAATCACCCCTCAAAGTTATAAAGTAGAAAGTGGCAGAACTGGAATTCAAACCAGATCCAAGCTCTCAACTGCTGGGCTTCAAGCTAAGTGGTAGTTAAAACAAAACAAAACACTGACTTTGGGACCTAGAGGTACAGACCTACAATTCTGCAACTCCAGAGGCTGAGGCAGAAGGATCACAAATTTGAGGCCAGCCTCAGTAATTTAGTGAGACCCTATCTCAAAAAGGGGAGGAAGGAGGTTGGGATATAGCTCAGTTGTAAAGCACCCCTGGATTCAATCCCCAGTACCAAAAACAAAATAAGGTGGCATACACCTATAATCCCAGCAGCTTTGGAGGCCAAGGCAGGAGGATTGCAACTTCAAAGCCAGCCTCAGCAACTTAGCAAGGGCCTAGACAACTCAGTGAGACCCTGTCTCTAAACAAAATACAAAGTAGAGCTGAGGATGTGGCTTTCTGGGTAAGTGTCCCCTGGGTTCAAACCCCGGTACCAAAAATAAATTAATGAAATACTGACTTCAGGGCTGGGGATGTGGCTCAAGCGGTAGCGCGCTCGCCTGGCATGTGTGCGGCCCGGGTTCGATCCTCAGCACCACATACAAACAAAGATGTTGTGTCCGCCGATAACTAAAAAATAAATATTATCTCTCACTCTCTCTTTAAAAAAAAAAAAAGAGACACAATCTTTAAAAAAAAAAAAAAAAAGAAATACTGACTTCAGGCACATCCAGGTCACAGAGCCAGCAGGGGTTGGGCTGAGACAGATAGTCCTTGCTAGCAACCAGGCTGCCTGGGGAAAATTCTGTCCAGAAGTTGAGAGTGTAGGTTTTGGTGGTCCCAGAGAAGTGGGCTCCAGTCCCAGCTTGACCACTCCCTGGTGCAGTCTCTTTCCTCACTAGCCTCAGGGGCCACCTCGGCCACTTCCTTTTTTTTTTTTTTTTTTTTTAAGAGAGAGTGAGAGAGAATTTTACTATTTATTTTTTAGTTTTCGGCAGACACAACATCTTTGTAAGTGGTGCTGAGGATCGAACCTGGGCCGCACGCATGCCAGGCGAGCGCGCTACCGCTTGAGCCACATCCCCAGCCCCACCTCAGCCACTTCCTACTTGGTAACCTAGGAGTGGCGACTTTACACCACTGGGCCTCAGTTTATCGGTCTGCAAAAGAACCTGTAAAAGGAGGATCATAAAAATACCCACCTTAGCCGGTGGTCCTCTTGTCATTCAATTCTTAGCCAGGTCAAGGGATCCCAGTAAGGACACTGCTCCTACTCGAGCCCAGGCACAGAGGCAGGACACAAGTCACTCCCCAGCTTTACCAAGAGAGGCTGGGAGCTGGGCAGGAGACCTTGCACCACACGCACCTGCCTGGAGGCACTGGGCTGGGTCCCCGAATCCCAGCTGGCCACTCGGGCCCACCTGTACTGTGCCCTTTCAGCATTCTCCCCGCAGGCCCCGGGGTTTGGAAGACTTTGACTCCCAGACGCGTCATGTTATTAAATAATCTTGACTTCCCTTCCCTGTTCTTTATTAATCAAAGATACAAGGGTGGCAATCAGCTCTAATGGCCGTGGGACAGGCAGCCAGGTAGCGACTCCAGCCCACAGCACCGAGATGCCTGCCTGGGCGCATCTCCAGCCAGCTCCAAGCCTGTTCTGAGCAGGTGGCCAGACTTGGGGCCACCAGGGGTACCCAGCCAGGGGAGGCCCAAGCCCCCCTACTCCCCAGAGGGTGGCTGTGGCTAGTGCAGTTGTTCTGGGGTCACTTCTAAGTGTCAAACCCAATGTGACCAGCAGGTGGGGCCATGATGACAGAAGGCCCCAGAGAGCTATAACTCCCTGGTCCAACCCTGGGGTGTGTATTTAAGTCTCTTCTGTGGGTCCGCCTTGTGCTAGGAAGACAGCAAGCAAGAAAGAAATTTTAAAATGAATGAAGTCTCCTTAAGAGAGACAGACCATACTTGGCATGTCACTTGCTGACCCCACCCCCTCAGGAGCTATGTCTTCAAGGAGGAGGGAAAGTTGAAGATGGATCTTGAGGGGCAAGGGCATTGGATGGAGGAAAAACATTTGTTCCTTGGCCAGGCGTGGTGGCGCACACCGACAATCTAGCAACTGAGGAGGCTGAGGCAGGAGGATCGTAAATTTGAAGCCAGCCTGGACAACTCAGCAAGACCCTGCCTCAAAATAAAATGCAAAAGGGACTGGAGAAGCAGCTCAGTGGGTTCAATCCCCAGGACTTTGGTACCCAAAAAATAAAAAGGGGAAATAAAGCAACAGTTGTTCCAGGAGAAGGAGTTAGATAAGGCGGTCTGAAAGGTCATGGCCTTTTGGAGAAACCTCAGCAGTGGGTGGTATCGGGCTGTGGCCTCCAAACAGCAAGCTCCTGTGGGCTGTGGGAGGACAGGTAGAAGTCATCAAAACCGCTGGCCTGACGCACAGTGTAACATCCGGGACAGGAATTGGGGTTCTGAAGTAAACCATGGGGCCTTGGGCCCAGATGGGAATGATAGATCAAATGCTGGGTCCTGCTCAGAAGGGGACTAGCCCACCTTTGGGGTAACACAAAGGAGTTCAGCTGCCCCCCATCCCTGCTTCACTGTGCTCTGGGAGTGCTTTGGCATGTCACTTGCTGACCCCTGCTTAGGCCAGGCCAGGTTTGGTGACAAAGGAAGACCCATTCTGATATTTTCTGAGCCATATTTTGTGTGATTTTACAAATGAATCCTTTATAATTCATTTCACCCAATATACCAGTACTTGGCCAAGACTGTTGGACAAATACATTTTTTTCCTTCAGTATTACATTGTTTTTTTATTGTGGTCAGTACCCATAACATAAAAGTTAATAAATTCAGCCATCTGCAACACATCTCCAGTCACCAGTTCAGTGATATGTGGTACATTCACACTGTCGGCAAGGTCACCACTCTCTAGTTCCAGAACTTTCATCACACCAAGAGGAAACCCCAGACCCATTCACTGGTCCCCTCTATCCATACTTTTTGTTGGTTGGTTTTTGGTTTTGCTTTGGTACCAGGGATTGAACCTTGGGGCTCTTAACCACTGAGCCACGTCCCCAGCCCTTTTTATTTTTATTTTTTTCATTTTGGGACAGCATCCCACTAGGGTGCTTATAGCCTCTGCTAAGTTGCTGAGGCTGGCTTTGAACCTGCCATCCTCCTGCCTCAGCTTCCCGAGCCACTGGGATTACAGGTGGCTCAGTCCATTTTTTAACTTCTCCCAGATACTCCCTGTTCTTCCCGAATGTGATTTGAAGCACAGTAACTGAAAAAATTAATAAATAAATAAATGTTAGAGCCATGGCACAAGCCCTGCTTCGTCTTCAGGTCACATTTGCCTGGGGACAGCAGCCACGGCAATGATAGTAATGCCCGCTGCATACTCTATTCCCTGTGCCCAGTGGCTTTCAGAGAGAATCCTTCTTTGGAGCAACCCTATAAACTAAGTTCCAGATTGTGATTGAAAGGGAACCAAGGGAAGCTGTGGCCCCAGCCAGCAAGCTGGGCCCTGGGGGTGGACAAGCAGGCTACTCTACAGACCAGCTTTACTTTCTCCTTGCTGTGTAACCCTACAGAAGGTGGTTACCCACTCTGAGCCTCAATTGCAGCCTCTCTAGCAAGGCTCTGCTAACAGGCTATTGGGTGGCTGGAGGGAGAGGTGCGTCTGGTGTGGAGGGGACATTCACTCCATCTTGGCTACTGCTATCTTCATAGAAGGACATGCTTCTCTGCACCCTTCCCCAGGTGCAGGTTTGCTCTTTCAGCCAGGGGTGAGAGAGAAAGGGGAACAGGGGTTGGCAGGGTGGGGGTGGGGGTAGGAAGCTTCCCGTTCACCCTCCCCCACTCCACTTGCCAACTCACTTCCTTTCGCGCTCACTCCCCAGCACCCTGGATTTCTGGCCTCTCTGGGGGCCAAGGAATGGCCACGAGAAGGTGAAGACGTCTGGCAGTCACCCCGGCAGAGCCCAGGGCAGGACAGAGACGTGTCTATGCCCCTACACCATGCAGAGCAGCACCAACTGAGTGTTTGCTGAATGAATGAATGCAGGGGATCTTTGTGAGGGTTCCAAGGACGGACAGATGAGGTCCGGCTCTGTAAGGTGGCAGCTGTTTGTTCATGGCTGAGAAATGGGGGACAGGCGCAGGACGTGGGTCTGAATTCTCACCAGGCTTCTGGGATCCCCAGCTCCCACTCCTTCAGCCACCAGCTTCTCCATCTTTCTCTGGGCCAACCTCCCCCTGAGTTCACTTGGCACAGGCCACCTAAGCTGCGCAGAGTTCCTCAGATCCTTTCTGTACCTGGCTCAAGTCCAGCAATGTCTCCACCACCTTGCCTTCTTCCCACCTACCCTTGGGGTTCTGGGCCCCCAAATCTAGTGGGGGATGGGAAGGTTTCCGAGAATCCCTGGCTCCCAGGGGCAGAGAGGGAGTGGCTCTTAGAGTGGCTTAGGAGAGGGCAGGCCGTCCCCTGGGGTCTGGAGTGGGCAGCCAGGGCCCCCTTAATGGATGAGCCTGGGAGTGGGAGCCTAACCCAGCAGACCCGAGTGCACGGAAGCCGCTGGGAACGCTTCCACCTCCTAAATATTTACACAGTGAGATGGATGGGGAGCCGGGGCCAGATCGGGCAGCTAGGCCGCTGGCTATTTTGAGAAAATCGTTCTTTTTGTGTGTGCTCCAGGATAAACGTCGCCTGCGTCCCCGGGTCTCCTCCCAGAGCCTGTAGCGGTGGCCTCCAGGAGGACGAATAGCAGCTGGCCCGCCCCGGATTCGGGGCAGAAGGTTCTGACATCCGCGGCATCGCCCCGGCCCGAGCTCGGTTTTCTGGCTCCTGTCCCCGGAAGAGAGGGCAGGCGATGACAGGGCCCGCTTCGATGTCAGCAGAGGGAGCAGGCGACCGTGGCCTCGGCTTTGGACGGCGTTCCCACGGTGCTGCCGCTGGACCGCGGCGCAGGAGGCACGGGCGCCACCTGCCCCTCGCCCCAGGCCGACAGCGGCACCCAGCTCCCCTCCTTCCCCTGGACAGCGGCACCGGGGACCCGGGGGTCCCCTCTCCCTGGGGCGGGCCGGGAGAGCGGGGTCTGCGAGTCGCCGCGGGCGGGCCGGGAGCACAGGCAGCAGAGCCAGAGGCGGAGTCGCTGGAAGACGGTCTTGCGGAAGAGAATGAAGACCCAGGGGTCCAGGATGGGGTTGAAGGCGTTGAAGCGGAAGGCGAGCAGGTCCCCCATCTCGCTGCTGTCCGGCGCGATGGCCTGGGTGAAGCCTCGGATCTGAGGGCAGGGAGGCCGTCAGGGGGCCCAGGGTCCGCCACCTCCGCCCCCCCCGCCCCCACTTGCTCACCAGCGGGGGTGAGGGAGGGGCGCAAGGGAAGGAAAGAAGATAAGATGGAGCATCCGGGGAGCAGAGGAAGGGAAAGCCCCAGGGAACGGCCAGCAGCGGCCTGGGGGAGAGGCTGGCGCCAGGAATAAGGGTCCCCTCGCCCTTGGCAGCCTGGGGGACTTCTCAGCTGGACCCTGAGGTCTAGGGCTCCCCAGATCACACGCAGAGCCGTGGCAGTGTCTGGCCACACTCATCCTCTGAGTCACGGTCAACCCCAGCCCAGCCCCTTGCATTTTGCAGAAAGGGAAACTGAGGTCCAGAAACAGGTGAGATGACCAGGTGTCACCGACCCTAGTGCTGCTTTTGTGGGAGAGGCTTGGGGGACCCTGTGGGAAACAGGGAAGGGTGGGAGATTCAAGGGCAGAGAACACAGTGGGGGGCCTGGGCTGGGGGAGGTGGTGGGGGAGACCCTGAGCCTCAGGGATCGGAGCCCAGGGTGGAGACTTGGCTCTGTGTAACTGGGAGCAAGAGACACTGCCCCTCATCTGTTAAAAGGGTGACAGGACGCGACCTTGGTTTTTCCTGCCAAATGCTTGTGGAAAGGGTGTGTAAGTTCTTGTTGGAGGTTATCTGAGGAATTATCTCTAAGCCACTAAGCATCAGGAGGGCAGAGAGCAAGTGCTCATGAATTGTGAATGCTGCTGTTATTTCAGGGTAAGGGAAGGATGGGGGTGCATTTGATGATGGGGGCTCAGGGGGTGTGGGAAAAGAGGACCCAGGAATGGGCATTGGAGGAGCCACATGGGGCAGAAGTAAGTGAAGAGAGACTTCTCCAGAAAGTTGGAAAACATTTGGCCACAGACTATGCCTCTGTTTGACCTCACTGGAGTCTCAATTTTCCCATCTGTGAAATGGGTACAGCCATTGGAGGACAGAGCTGGGCACTGCCCCCCATCCCTCCCCTTGCACCTCAGCTCCTGGGGACTCACCGTGAGAGGCAGGGAGCACACAGCCATGATGCCTGTCATGAGGGCCAGCAGAATCAGGTGGTCAACCTCGTCTTCGCGTGCCCGGGAGCTGGGGACCAGGGATCCCTGGTGGCGCCTCTGCTGACGGTACATGCGGCAGAGGCTGAGGGTGACAGAGCCATTGCACAGGACAATGGCAGTCACCAGCAGGGCCACAAGGCTGGCATAAGCCAGTGAGAAGGCACAGCCACCAGGCTCTGTGGAGCGCATTCGGATGAAACACCAGCTGCCCGGGCAGTACTGCTGGTGTTGACCCAGGCCCAGCAGGGGCAGGGCGCAGAAGAGGGTGCAGAAGGTGTAGATGGCAGGCAGCGCCAGGCGGGCACAGCGTGGCCCATCCAGCTGGGCATACAGATAGGGGTGGCTGAGTGCCAGGCAGCGCTCCACGGCCATGGCAAAGAGGATGAGCGTGGAGGCCAGGCCGAAGAAGGTCATGGCGAAGGCAAAGGCGTCGCAGAGCGCGGGGCCCCCCTGGGCCAGCCCCAGCAGCGAGCTGTTTCGAGCATAGGCCACGAACACAGCTGGGCTCAGGAAGCTCGTGCCCAGCAGGTCTGTCACCGCCAGTCCCGTGACCAACACAGCAAAGGCTGATGGGCGTGACTGTCGCCGGGCCCCTAGGATGCCCAGTGCCAACCCGTTGCCCACCACACCCGCCACAAACATCAGGGTGCTGGTGGCCGGTCCTACGGAGCCCCGAACGTAAGTGAGGTTCCTGCAGGAATCTGCCATGGCCCGCTGCTGTCCACCAGGGGACCCGGCTGGCTGCAGGGCTCCCAGGGGTGGGAGGTGCCGGGACCCTCGGGTGCCCACCGAGGGCCAGCCAGACCTGCCAGTCGACCTTCAGCCCTCCGTGCGCCCACTGTGTCTTCTGCGTTTCTCTCCCTGTGTCTTCGCTGGTGTCTGTCTGCCTGTCTGTCTGTCTGTCTCTATTCTGGTCCTCTCCTTCTCCGTCCTTCCTCTTCTGCCTCCTCAGCCCCTCCGGACCTCAGCAGCCTCAGCCTCTCCTCCCCGCGTGTCTCCAAGTCTGCGCTGATCTGCGGCCTCTCCGCCTCCGCCCTCCCTCCTCTGCTGCTCACCCAGGCTTCATTTCCTCTCTCTGCCCCGCCCTCCCTCCCTGCCTTCTCCAGAGGCCCCCCCAGCTCCCTGCCGCCTTCCCTGCTGCACCCCATCCCTCCCCTTGTGCACCCATCTCCTGCGCCTGCCCCCTCCCCCTCCCCTCTCAGAGCCACCTGCCACCTCCCCACTTAGACCTCTGCTCTTCTCCCTGTCCTGTGCTCTCCCTCTCTGGCCCCCAACACCACCCAGTCACCCGGTTTGGGCTCCACCAGGGGACCCGGGCAGGATCTGAGGGGGGTAGCCGACCATTTGAGTGGGGAGCTTGGCCACGGCCTGGGCTGTCTTGGAGGGCCTCTGGGATCCATTCTGGGCTTCAGGCCCCAGGGTTAGGAACATGGCCCAGGAATTGAGAAATGACCAGGAAATTCCTCCCTGATGCAGTGTTTTCCAGACACCACTGAGATTTCTGCTCCCTGGACACATTCACTCCTTCCTGAAAACAGGAGCCTGGCCCCGAGCTCCCGCTCTCGAGCTCAAAGCCCGAGCAGAAAGGCCAGGGAGGAGTCATTTGGTGTTCCACCAAAGGCTCAGGCCCAGGGGACTCCCGTGGCCTATCATCAAGAGGGCATCCTGCTGACCTCCTGCTTCCCACCACGGTACTTCCAGGCCCCAGGCCAAGCTCCAATGACCTTGACCTTCAAGAATAATATTTGGGCCACAGACACATGACCATCCAGGACTCCAACATCCCTGCAACATCTCCCACCCTCCCCAGTGCCACCTCCTTCTGGCCAGTGTGGTCAGCCCACGTGTCCCAACTGTCAGCCCAGTGGTCATGGCCTGGCCCCACGGAGCCCAGGAGGCAGAGCTTCGCAGACACCCCTCGATGTTCAGGTCTCAGCGTAGAGATCACAAACTCAGAGACTCTTCCGCATCACACTAGGGTTCTTGTCCCAATTCAACCCCCTTCTTCCCATGGGATGGTCCTGAGCCAGGACAGGAAGCTGGTGTGCCTCAGTCTCTTCGTCTGTACAATGGTAACACCGGTCTCACAGGACAGTGGTCCACTGTGGCCAGCAGCTCTCCCCAGGTGCATGTGAAGGAAAGAGCCTATGCTGACGTCATCTCAGACCCAAGGCCAAGAGGGTACTCCTGACCCGGGGCTGGACTGGGGACAGCTGCAGCCTCGCACTCTGTCCCTGCCTTGGTGACCGCAACCCCTGGCTCCTCCCCGGTCTCCTTATCATCCATGCCCAGCTGGCACCCCCGGCTTCCGGCAGGATGGATGCCCAGCTCCAGTCACTCCAGGGGTTCCCCAGGGAACACATGGGCCTGCTCTGGGGGTGCCCGTGGGTGGGGCAGGCCTCTAGCCAGGCGGTGCCCCTCGGTGCTCCGGTTCCCAGGCGCAGCAGAGGGAACTCAGGAAGTTCTATCATATTAATGAGCGATGACGCCTGGCAGCCCTCCTGCCTCAGGCATCAGGGGAGCTTGAGCCGGAGGTGGGAGCTCGGTTCCCGGAGCCTTCTCCCTCCCGCCGGCTTCCTGTCCCCACCAGGGTCGTTAAACATTCAAGAAGTGCCCTCTGCTCCCGTGCCAAGGGGGCGGTGGGACAAGCCCCTGCCCTCCTCCAGGACTCAGTCTCCCCTCCTGGGTCCCTAGGGGCTGCAAGTTCCAGCGAGGCCAGCATCTGTCCTGTGCTCCTGCATCAGAGGTTGGGGTGGGGACAGAGCTGTAATTCCTTCCTAAGGAGGGACTGGACTGGGGGTCCCTGGGGTCCCTGCGGGGCTGCACATACCTACACGCTCTACATGGGACGCCCTGCCATGTGCCTGGCTGTGGCCCAGCCAGGGCTCACAGGGTTCTTCTCCTGCCCCGAGCCACGGATTGAGGGGTCCCCCGTCAGCACTGTGGGAGAAGTGGCTTCTGGGGCCAGGGGAGCCAGGCAAGGGACTGCCCCAGGAGGGTGAGTCAGCAGCCAGGCGCTCTCCACCCTCTGCCAGCAATAGACGTGGCCTCCCTAAGGGACCCTGGGCAGCAGCAGGCAGAAGAGGAAGGACAAAAGAGGACAGGGCACCCAAAGGGGAGGGAGACGGGGACCCAGGAGAGGGTGGGTGCACGCGGGACCTGGACTGGGATTCTGTGTGGGATTTGAAGGGCCTACGTGACCTAGGTGAGCATTGGTGTCAGCGTGGTGATTGTGCTCGTGTGTGTGTGTGTGTGTGTGTGTGCGCGCGCACGTGTGAGACTCTGAATCTGCAGGACTTGTGTGGCTGTACCTCCGTGAGAGGGCCAGTTTCTGTGTTGTGTGTGGTGCGTGTGTTGTGACCACACGGGACTCTAGGTGTGCCTGTGTATGAAGGTGTTCTTTGCTAGTGCATGGATGGGGCTGGGTGTGTTTGTGTGTGTGAGGATGTGTGTGTGCAAGCTCGAGTATATTTTTGCAGACATGGCTGTGTCTCCATGGTGCATTGCCTTAGTGTGTGCCCTTGTGGGTGAGGCCAATCTGGAAGCATATGGTGAGTCTGTTTGCACGTGTGTGTGGGGGGGTGCTCACTCGTATTTTGTTTTATTTTGGATACTGTGGATTGAAGCTGGGGTGCTCAAACACCGAGCCACATCCCCAGCCCTTTTTATTTTTTTATTTAGAGACAGGGTCTTACTGAGTTGCTTAGGGCCTCACTCAGCTGCTGAGGCTGGCCTCCCACTTGTGATCCTCCTGCCTCAGCCTCCTGAGCCACTAGGATTACAGGCATGCACCACCACACCCTGCTCTCTCATTTCTTCATGGCTGTGTCTGACAGGGTGTGTGTCTGCATGTGGCAGGGGAGACCTGGGCTGTGGAGGGAGACCAGGTTTTGAAGTCATCTCCACTGCTCACCATCTACCATGTGACCCTGAGAAGCCCACTTCCTCCTGGCAAAGCCTTGGTGTTCATTAATGGCTCCCCTGAGCTTATCGGGGTATTGTGTGATAAGAGACATGTCACCCCACCTGCCTCTCAGGAACCCCTTATCCCTGCTGGTTTATTACTCAGCAATCCTATTAGACGTGGGCTCAGAGGTGCCATTCAGTGGGGAACAGGGAGCGCGTATCCCCAGGCACACAGAGCCTTCAGCTGAGTGCCCGACCCAGCCAGGCCTCCCATCTGGGAGGGAGCTGCCCCAGCAGGTCAGGAACGGAGCTGTGACAGCCTCAGCCAGCACCTAGCCCCCACTGCATCTAGGTGGCTGCAGACCTGCCAGCGGGCTTCCCGGGCCCATCCTCTCCTGCCTCCCTGGTTTTGTCCCCCTGGACCTGGTCCTGGAGGAAGTCACCCCACCTCATGCTCAACACATAAATGCCACCAGCTGCTCATGGCACCCAGCCACAGTGCCCTCTCTTTGCTGGGTCAGGCACACACTGCAGGGCAGGCTGCGCTCCCACGCTCAGAGGCCACGTTCCTCTGGCCATTGCCCTCAGCCCCAAAGGGGCCCTGCTGCAAGGGCTCTGCCTGTCCCCTGCCTGCCCTGGGTTTGCCTGGGTAGGGCCCCCATCCTCCAGGCCCTTGGACACCCCAACTTTCTCCAGAATAGTCCTCCACCAGATCGCCCAGCCCCACTGGCCAGGGGACCTCACCACTTGGTGCCTCATCTCCATTCTGCAAAATGGGGCTGAATCAAGTAGCACTGGGGGCCCTTATGAGGATTAAGTGGGGCTTAAAAGGACATCAGTAAGAGACGGTGAGGGAACAGCTTCGCTCTTCTCCCCACAGGCCCCTCCCCAGGACAGGCACTGCTCTGAGCTCCTGGGCTAGGGACAGCTGCAGGGGGCACAGGGAAGACAGCCTGGGCCAGGGGAACGGGAGGGGACTGCTGTGAGCAAGTATTACCTCGGGTGGCCACATCTCCCTCTTGGCCTGGCTGTGACCCCAGTCAGGGCCTGGTCCCAGAGCTTACCTCACAGCTGGGGGTGACAGGAAAGAGCAGCAGCCCCCAGAGCTGGTGCTGCTTGCAGAGTTGTAAGGCTAATACAATTAACTGGATCTGTGCTCCTGGGCACTGGGCACCAGAGGGCCTGCCCTGTCCCTTCTAGCTTCTGGCTTCTCCTCCCTCCCACCTCCCTCCCTCCCATGGACATCTGCTGGTCCCCTCTGCGCCCTCCTCCTGCCCGCCTCTGTCCCCAGGCTCCAGCCAGCCCACCCCTCTTGCTTCCCTGTGATCCCCCCAGACCAGCAAGGCCGGGGAGGAAGGATGCCCACGGCTCCCAGATTCCAGGGCAGGAAGGTCTGCATCCCAGCAGTCTAGTCTCAAGGAATCCCTGCAAAGACCCAGAATCCCAACCGGACAAGGGGCGGGTGGAACCTCAGGACCCTGGCCCCACAGAATTGGAAGAGTCTAGAATCTGGCCTTCAGAATTCCTGGGCTCCTGGAATTCCAACTCCACATTTCGGGTTCTAACTGCAAGAGTGCTGTGTCAGAGAAATTCCGCAATCCTGGCTCCGTCCCTTTCAGCATCCTTCCTCCCCCACCTCCCACCCCCCAGCTCATCCTTGGCTCTCTCCCGGTCCCCCTTCTCCCCCGGGGCTCCCACAGACATGATGCAACCAGGCTGGAGCCAGCTGAGAGGTGGGGGGCAGGAGGGAGATGTAATTACAGCCTCTCCTGCCTCCATTCTACAGGAAGCTCAGAGTTGGGGCCCAGGGGACCCTAATCCAATGTGAATAATGGAGCACTCGCCAGACTCACGGAAGGTCCCCCTGGGAGGAGAGCACAGTGAGCCACCACCAGCCAGATCCAGGGTCCAGCCTCCACCTGCGGGAGCTGAGGAGCACCAGACTCAGCCTGCGAGGGGCGGGGCTTGCGCACCCAAACCCTCAGGCCAATGAGGTGAATTCATTGACAAACCCAGGCTCCCCCAGGGCCCTGTCCCCCAGTTTCAGTGGAAAACCAACCTTCACTTTTCATCTCACCCCAAGAAGCCCCAGCAGAGCCTTCATGAGGAATGTTCCTCGGCTTCCTTAGCTGGGGGACAGTGGGGCATGGTGGGGACTTTGGCGGGAAAGCCCAAACCCTTCCCATAGCCTGGGTCACCCTGTGAGTCAGCAGACCTCACAATTCCATAGAAGCCGGAAATGCAGATGTTTATGAGAAATCTCTCTATTTTCCAACTTGGCAACCAAGTCAAGAACGTCATTAAACCTCACATAGGGCAAGAGGAGAGAGAGAGGAAAAGGAAACTGCAAGCTATATATGTCCTGAGGGCCACCAGGGTGTGTAGTGGGGACCAGGGCCGCTGCAAGTCACGCCTCTCCTCAGAATTTAATCTGTTCCCCACACTTTGGGGGACTGGGGTCAGGGCCTTGTGTGTTAGGCAAGGGCTCAGCCACGCAACTCCCCCAGCTCTGAGGCAGGATTGCTGAGTGAGGAACGTACTCCTTACTTGTCCCCTCCCCTTTCCTCTAGACTCACTGCTCTCTGTGCAGGTGCCAAGTTTTATTTCCACCATGTCCCAGGCCAAGTGTCTCCTCCTCCAGGAAGCCCTTCCTGACCTTCAAGTTCAGCAAGGTGCTACTTCTAAGTTCCTAAATCTCAGCCCTGCCCAATCTGCACTCTGTCTGGGGCAGGTCTGTCTCTTCCATTGGACTGAGGTCCAGAAGAGCGGGACCAGGGCTGTCTCAGTTACAGTCATGTCTTCAATATCACCAAGCACAGACAGACAGGCTGGTCACAGAACAGGTAAGCAGGTGATGCAGAACCAAATATGGGGGGAAAGGGGAGGGTGGAGTGATTCCTGGGATGAGTCCCAGGCTCCTAGGAGCAAGGCCAGTGGAGTGGCACCAGGAGCCCGGAGCCCACAGTCGTCCTAGCCCCATTATCTCCAAGCCCGGCGACTGTGAGTAAGGGACTTCCTTAGGCTCAGTGTTCTCATTTGGAAAATGGGCATCGTGCAAGTAGTCAGCTGCTCTGTGGGGCTGTTAGACAATGAAATAAGTGCGGGGGATCCGTGGAAGGTAGAGCACTTTTCTCCGAGGCGTGGTGGGGTTGTCCTCACTCAGCATCCACTCAGCCCCCACTCTTCTCCCATTCAGAAGGAATAAGAAGGGACGCAGGTCCCCAGGGCCGCGCCAACCTCAGCGCGTGTCTCGGGTTCCTCGAAAGCACAGGCAACACCACGGTCACCAAGTTTATTGGATTCATACTTGGGCGAGGGAAGGGTAAACTGTCGGGAGAACTTAGAGCAGGACGCAAAAGAGGCGCTTGTCGCGGAAGGGATTTTCGGCGGCGGGTACAGGTGTCACCAGCGGGTCATCTTTGGCGTGTGTCTCACAGAAAGCCAGGAGCTCGGCCGCCGCCTGCGACACCTGCAGGTGCCCGGGCAGAGTTGTTGCCGCCCCGCCCTCGCGACTCCGCCCCTCGGAGCCCCCCAAAACCCCGCCCCTCCTAACAAGGCCCCGCCCCTTGGCCAAGCCCCACCCCCTAGTCCCGCCTCTTTCCTAAGGGGATCCTCCCACTGTGCCTCTGGGCCCCGCCCCCAACATGGCCCGAGCGGACCCCAGCCCCAGAGCCCCCGCCCGACCCGGCACCTTCATGCGGTCGATGTTCACCTCCAGCTTCAGCTGTTCCACCGTCTTGCGGGCCTCGGCGATCTTGGCCATGTTGTTGGACATGGCTGCAGCAGGGAACGGGTTAAATGCCAGGGAGGAGTGGGGTGCGTCTGGGAGACCACTGAGTTCCCAGGTGGGGGGTGATGGGGGTGGGACCCAGTAACAGGGGTGTGGGTAAAAGGGCGCGCGAATAGGGTGCCAGAGCCAGGTAGAGGAAGGGATGGTGGCCTGGAGGAGAGGGACCAGAGGAGGATGGAGGGATGCACAGACAGGGGTATCTAGAGGCCGGCGGGAAGAAAGGGGGTGAAGCAAGGAAGAGGGAGAGGCGTACAGATGAGAGGCTGGGAGGCAGGTGGAGGGAGGGCCAGAAGGACAGGGACACAGGTGCTGGATCAGGATCTAGGGATCCAGGTGTCCTTACCCCCTGGGGATAGAGCAGGAGCCTGGAAGAGGGGGGGCTCCCCAGGCCAATTAGTGGTGGCTCCAGGGAGAACTGCGAATTAAGATCACGGCGGGAGGGGCGCAGAGGGGGCCTCATTAGGGCTTTGGCAGCAGCTGCCCCCTTTGCCACCCTCAGGGAGCCCCCACCCCCACCCCTGGCCACCTCAAAGGCTCCTCTGCTCATTAGCAGCCAGAGGAGAGGGCTGGGGAGCCCAACCCAGCCAGACAAGAGGGAGGCAGAAAGGAAGGAGAGAGGGACAAATGGAGGGACCAAGGGCAGGACAGACGAAAGACAGCACGGGGAAAACAAGGAGATGAGGAGAGAGAGGTGGAGAGATGGGGAGGAATGGAGAGACGAGAAGAAGGCAAACAGGGACAGGTGGAAAGAGAGAGGGGACAGAGTGACGCAAGAGAGAAAGGCACAGTGGAGACAGGGACAAAGGGCAGAGGCAGAGGGACGGAGAAGAAAAGGGACCCAGATAGAGAGAAATGAAGGGATGGGGAGAGGTGGAGCAGGGAAAGAGTAAGACGGGGTGGATGGAGGGACAGCGGAGAGGCGCTGTGGGGAGGCTGGGTGAGAGGTCTCTCATCCATTCACTCCCAGGCAGACAGCGGCCTCGAGCCAGCTGTGGAGACCAGGACCCAGCCTCCTACCTGTTGCTGCTCAGGGCCGGGATGCAAAGTGGAGGCAGAGGCTGAGAGGCAGGGACTGGGTCCCCGTCCCAGCCCAGTCCCGCCCCCTCCCCTGAGGCCCAGCCCCTCAGGACCCGCCCCCTCCGCTTTGCCACCAACTCCACCTCCCTAGGTCTATTCTCTGAACTAGGTCTGTCCATCCCCTTCTTTGTCCCTCCTGAGCTTCAGTTGCTCCTGTTTTTGTGTGGCTCCCTCCTCTGTCTCTCTCACAAGCACACAAAAAGACAGTCCCTCCAGGCGCCCTGTGCCCTGCTGCATTTATTCTGCTGTCACACAAGCCTCTCCTATGTGTCCCACACAACCTCTCACTGTATCACACATACTCTCAGCCTGTCACGTGGGGTCACACTCACCACCTCAGTGTCACCCGATCACAGATGCCCCCCTCCATAGCTCACACACTCATGCCGTGCACCTCTCTGGGTCACACAGTAATGCCACAGCCTCAAAAACCACCTGTGCCCCACACAACCTTACAAGGTTTCTTGGAATGTCCCCCACACTCTTGATCACTCACAGTGTAGCACACTATCACCAAGGACCACTCCCAGGACTGCACAACCCAATACACTCTCTAAGAGTGTCAAATGTACAATTTATCAGTGTCACACGCAATATCTCAAAATGCCACACACATACGTGTGCAATTTAAACTTCTCCTGCTGGCTCATGACTCTCAGCTCAGCATCCTCCACAGACATGCAATGTCTCAGGCGACCTCCTCAACAAGCACTGGCACAGTGTGGCATAGTAATGTGCAGGAGCACAGCCACCTGTCCAGTGACACATACATCTTGTACAATCTCCAGGGGGTACATACAATCTTACACATTCCCTTCCCATAGGTGACTCACCATTTATCCTGTTGCACACACACACCATCTTTGGATGCCATACAGGTTATGCAGGGTGGCTCAGTATAGCACACTTCCTCACAAATCTCACAGTGCTTCACACACATTGTCGTGTGCCATTCACAATCAACGACCCCACAGTCTGCATCATGCAGGCCATCACTGTCGCATGTCATCTTGCTTGTCCTCACATAGCACTCTTCCAGCATCACACACTTGCATACACTCTCCTGTGTGCAATCACGACTCTGGACCAATCTCTCAGCATCACACACGAGCTCAACGTCATCGTCACAGTTTCCCACAGCCCCTGGCCAACAATACACAGTCTTAACTCACCATCTGCCGCACCCAGACCCACTCTGTGCCTGCTCACGCCAGCACTTGGGGCGTCCCTCTCATCAGTCTGCCCTTATGACACATGGCACTCTTATCCCCTGCCTCCCTCACGTACAGTGTCACAATATCTCACTCTCATATTGGCCTTTCAGTATCACATTCAGTCCCCAGATAGTCTCTCTCTCTCACTCTCTGACCAAGTTACACACGATCTCCCATTGCCACACAATTTCCCCCACAGTATCACCAATAACCTCACCGTGTCACAGGACCCCTGACCTCCTCTCATGGTATTGAACCTACTTGTTGTCTCTCATATATGCAGTTCTACCCAATCCCTCCTTGTCACTCATAATCTCATCTGCTACACAGTCACAGTCTCCTGGCGTCACACACCATGGCTCAGGAGTACACACTCACACGATCTTCCGGGCGTCGCACAACACCTCCCGGTGACACCCGCGGACACTACAGTCTCAATGCTCTTTCCATCACACTCTTGTGGTGCTCACACTAGCTCAGCCCTGCGGTCCACACGGGGGCGCGCGAGGCCTGCGAGCCGCCCACCCACCTCGCTCTGAAGAGCCGCAGAAAGACTGAGAAACAGTTAGGGCAAGGCGTCCCCATTTGCCCTGCGGGAAATGGAACCGGGATTAGGGGACCTGAGAAAGACGTGGGAGGGAGATGGAGACCTAGGAAGGTGGAGGGAGCCACGGGCCAGAGGGATAGGATGGAAAGTGGACAGAGAATATAAGAGGGAGGTGAGAGATGCAGGGAGAGACAGAGACACTTAGAGAAGAGAGACTTATGGACTAAGACCAAGGAGGGAAGACTGCAGAGAGAGACAGGGACAGGAGACACTAGGGCACACAGAGACAGAGGACACGGGAGAGAAACACACGCACCGAAACGTAGAGGGACGTGGAGAGACAAGAGAGCGAGCGGGCATTAAGACAGAGGGACACCCAGAGGGCGCCCTACACGTGGGACAGCGGAGGCAGGACCCGCACCATGCTGGGGGCGTGGCCACGGGCGGAGTGGGGGCGTGGCTGGAGTGTCGCTGGGGCGTGGTCTGAGTGGGCGTGTCGGGGCGGGGCTTGGGCTCTTTCCCAGCCGGCGGTGGAAGAGCGCTGCTAGCCTGTTGGAGGCTGGAGCCCTGGGAAGAATTGGAGGCTGGTGGAAGGGCATTTCTCCCGCAGCCAGCCCACCCAAATTCGGTTTTTACCGCCTGGACCGAGGAGGGAGACCGGCGGGGAGGACACACAGGCCCCTAGTAGCTTTTCGATAGCGGGTTTCGAACCCTGGCCCCCTTCCTCCTCCCCTTCGGGCGTAGCAGGACCAGATTGGGGAGGGAACCCGGCCCACATCTGGAAAGCATCAGGAGCGCCGGACGTGCCAGGGCCCGGGCCGGGCTGCGGAAGGGGGGAGGGGAGCCAAGGCGCTTCCCCCATCAGCAGAGCGGGGTCTGCCGGCGCCGAGGAGGGGCCTGGGCGTGTGCCGAGCCCGGCGCCTCCCGCAGCTGGTTTCCATCAGCAGATCTGGGCCTGAGCAGTCCCCAAGGAGGAAGCCCAGCTTAGAGCCAGGAAAAGCAGGGTGACGACCCAGTCTCTCCATGCTGCCCCCCTCCTGCAACCGAGGCCAGAGGCTGGCGCGGGAAGCGAAGTGACCTCCATTTCTGAGCACAGCTCTTTTCACCCTGCGGATAGCCTTAGTTCATGCCCTGAGCGGCACAAGATTCACCAGAGACATCCTATATTGTCCCCATCTTTTGGAGGAGGAAACTGAGACCCTGAATTTGACTTCACTTCCGGCTTTAATTATTGAAGAAACCATCAATGAACGGCAACACTGAATTCTAGGATCAAGTGCCCAATCACCTGTTGATTATGTCTCCACCTGGATGTCTAGTCTTAAGGCATCAAAAACTGAGCCCCTGGGGTTGGGGTTGTAGCTCAGTGGTGGAGCGCTTGCCTAGCACGTGTGAGGCGGCAGTACATAAAAATAGATGCAATAAAGGCATCCTACCGATCTACAAATCCATAGATTTGTAGATTCCTCTTACCAGACTCTCTGCTACCTCAGGCTTAACCATCTCAGTGGATGGTAAATCTTTGGGGTCACCCTTGACTCCCTTCTCTCACATTCCACGACTGATTTTGCAGCAAATCTAAGCCATCTTAAAGTGTCTCCAGAATCCAGTCACTTGCCTCCTCTGGGCCCAGCCACCATACCCTTCCACTTGACTGTTACAGTGGCCTCCTCCTTGGGTTCCTGGCTTCTGTCTCTGCGGCTCTTTGTTTCCTCCAGCACAGCCCGGAGGACGCTGTTTAAGACCGTGGCCTTCTATAAGTGACAGCAAGTGTTAGACAGTACGTGGGGAAATCTGAACCTCACACTCTGGCAGGAAAGTAAAATAGGGTGCAGTCACTCTAGGAGAGCCTGGAGGTTCCTCAAAAAGTTAAACCTGGAGTTGCCAGCGACTCCACAGCTAGGTATGGATCCAAGAGAAAGGAAAATATGTCCACATAAAATACGCATGCAAATGTTCATTGCAGCATTATTCATAGCCCCAAAGTGGAAAAAACTCAAGTTGTCCATTAGCTAAAGAATGGACAAACTAACTGTGGTACGTCCACTCAATGGAAGATCATTTGGCTATTAAAAAAAAAAAGAAAGAAAGAAAAGAAGTGCTAATAGATACATGCTGATACCTGGCTGAAGGTTGAACCCAACGTGCAGAATGAAAGAAGCCTGTCACAAAAGGCCACACACTGTATGATTCCTGTTATGTGCATGTCCAGAACTGGCAAATGAACACAAGGCCAGCGTGGTTGCCTCTCAGAGGCTGGGGAGACTGAGGGATGACAACTGAGGGAAGCAGGTTTTTCTTTTTGGGGTGGGGGATGGAAATGCTCTAAAGTTGACAGTGGTGATATTTGTATAAATCTGTGAATATACTATAAACCACTGAGCTGTATGATTGATATGGGTGAATTTTACGATATGTGAATTGCAGCTCAATAGAACTTTTAACACCACCACCCCCAAAAAATAAATAAAAAATAAAAAATACGTCTGTCTTCTCAGATTCTCCTGTGGCTTCCACCTCACTTGGAGTCCAAACCAAAACTATCTGCATGGCCCCAGGAGATCCCTACCACCTCTCTGGTCTCACCCCTTCCCTCCCACTGCTCCAGCCACACTGGCCTCTGGGCTGTTTTGTCAACATGCAGGGCACAGTTTTGTCTCAGGGCCTTTGCACTGGCTGTTCCTTCTCTCTGGAATGTTCTTTCCCAAGATATCCATAAACCTTGCTGGGGGCAGATGCACATGCCTGAAATTCCAGCTACTGGGGAGGCTGAGGCAGGAGGATCTCATGTTCAAGGCTAGCCTGAGCAATTTGGGTGAGACCCTGTCTCAAAAACTAAAGAGTTGGGGGGCTGTAGCTTAGTGGTAGAATACCCCTGGATTCACACCCCAGTAACACACACACACATACACACACACACACACACACACACAAACCAATAAGCCTCACTCCCTACCTGCTTCAGTTCTCTGTTCAAATGTTCAATACAGCCATTTCTGAACATTCTATGTAAATTCCCCAAATCCTACCCAGTTTCAGACCTCTGCTCAGTTCTTCCCCATTCTTTATCACCTTTAACAAATTGGAGAACTCACTTATGTCACATCCTCCCCCCCAAAGCTTCCCTCCTTGTGACCAGTTCCTTGTGTATCTTTTTAGAGATGATGCATATAACAAGTTACATAGAGCAGTGGTTAAGAACATGGACTTTGGAGATTATGCCTGAATTTATTTTTTCACTACATGAATTTTAAAATTTGCCATGTATGACTATCAGATGTTACCTACACCTCTCTGTGCATCAGTTTCTCTGTGTGTAAAATGGGCTACTGTCATTTGGTTGTGAGGATTAAATTAGTCAATATGTGCAGTGGTAAGAAGAGTCCAGAATGTAATAAGTGCTCAATAATTGTTATCTATTTGGGTTCTTCTAAAAACTCTGTGTGTGTGTGTGTGAGTGAGTGAGAGAGAGAGAAAGAGAGAGAGAGAGAGAACTTAAATCTTCCCCATACCCCAGTAATGAGGACTGAGAACTCAGGGGTGCCCACTGAGAAATATCCCCATCCCTTTTTAGTTTTTGAGACAGGGTCTCACTAAGTTGCTCAGGGTCTTGCTAAGTTGCTGAGGCTGGCCTCAAACTTGTACTCCTCCTGCCTCAGCCTCCTGAGTAGCTGGAATTAGAGACATGTGCCACCACACCCAGAATACACCAAATTTTTAAAAAATAAAAATCAGGTTGGGGTTGTGGCTCAAGCGGTAGCGCGCTTGTCTGGCATGTGTGCGGCCCGGGTTCAATCCTCAGCACCATGTACAAACAAAGATGTTGTGTCCGCTGAGAACTAAATAAATAAATATTAAAAATTTAAAAAATAAAATAAAAATAAAATAACTGTTGGGCAAAGGGTATGATAGTTCACAGAAGAGGAAATACAAATGCCAATAAGCAAATAAAACTATGTGCCACCTCAAGGAAATAGGAAGACATGTTAATTAAAACAGAAAGCAGGGGCTGGGGTTGTGGCTCAGTGGTAGACCAGTTGCCTAGAACATGTGAAGCCCTGGGTTCAATCCTCAGCATCACATAAAAATAGATAAATAGCATAAAGGTATTGTGCCCACCTACAATAAAAAATATATATATATATTTAAAAAAACAGAAAGCAGTTTTCCCTCATAAGATTGTCAAAATGAAAATAATAACATCTGGGGGCTGGGGATGTGGCTTAGTGGTGGAGAGCTTGCCCAGCATGTGTGAGGCAGTGGGTTTGAGCCTCAGCACGGCATAAAAATAAATGAATAAAATAAATATATAGTGTCCATCTAAAACTAAAGATATTTTAAAAAATAACATCTGTTGTTTGATGAAAGAATAAATGGGCATTTCAAAAATTGCTGTAGTAATGTCAGTTGAAGGGCTGGGAGCATAGTTCAATGGTAGAGCACATTCTTAGAATTCTCCATTCCCTGAGTTCAATCTCCAGCACCAAAAAGTAAAAAGAAAAAAGAAGAAGGAGGAGGAGGAGGGAGAGGAAGGAAGGAAGGAAGGAAGGAGGGTCAGTTGGGGTAGCGTTCATTCAGTTTTCTGTTTTGTGGTGCTGAGTCGAACCCTAGGCCAGGCACATCCTGGGCAAGAGTTTCATCACTGAGCTACATCTTTGTAGAGTGTGAATGGAAGTGTGTCAGTTCAAGTGTCAATTAAGATAGGCACACTTCTGTAATCCCAGTGACTCAGGTCAATTTGCAGGAGGATCACAAGTTTGAGGCCAGGCTCAACAAAGACCCTCAGCAATTTAACAAGACCCTATCTTAAAATAAAAAATAAAACTGGAATGTAGCTCAGTGGTAAAAGCAGCCCTGGGTTCAATCCCTAGTACCAAAAAGAGTGACAATTAAAAGTTTTTAAATGATGATAGGTAATCTGGTTTATGCCAATAATCCCAGAGACTTGGGAGGCTGAGGCAGGAGGATCACAAATTTGAGGCCAGCCTGGGCAAAATCTTGTCTCAAAATAAAAATGGGAATCCCACAATGAAATTTTCCATGCTGATATTAACAACACAGGAAAATTGTTACCTAAATTTAGATGAAATGGACCAATATCTAGATGAATATGACTTAACAAAACTGACACAGGAAGAAATAGAAATGCTAAAGAGTCCTATAGTTATAGGACTTTGATGGTTACCAAAGAAATTCAATCCTTAATTTAAATCCTCCCACAAGGAAATTTCCAGGCCAAGGTGGCTTTCCCCCCCAAAAAAGACAAAACACCACATTCAGATAGTCCAATATATGTAAATATATGTGCTATAACATTATATACATAACTATATGTATTTGCACACATCTGGTTAATATGTACAACTATAAATACACATAACAGCATGTATACATGTGTACATGACTCTAGGCATGTGTGTAACTGCACACAACCACAGCTGTTTAGATTCCTGCATGTATGCAAACATGTAAAGAGCATGGAAGTATACGCAACAAATTGCTGATTATGATTATGACTTCTGAGAGGGAATGGGGGCACTTGTCCCTTTCTTGTACTGTTCCCATTTTTATGAAATCATATTCATATCCCAACCTAACTAAAACGTAATGTTCAATGAAATAAGAGAGCCAATGTTTAAGGCAGGTATGGTGGTGCATGCCTGTAATCCCAGGGGGTAGGGGCAGAGGCAGGATTTCCAGTTCAAAGCCAACCTCAGCAAACTCAGCAATGCCCTAAGCAACTTTGCAAGACTCTGTCTCTAAATAAAAATAAAAAGAGCTGGGGGTGTGGCTCAGTGGTCCAATGCCTGGAGTTCAATCCCCAGTAACCCAATCCCCCTCCAAAAAAGAGCCAATGTTTAGAAGATGATGTTGAACCCCATTTGGGATCTGCCATCTGGTTCAGGACATTGCCAGAAAACTGCTCAATAAATCTTAATCCAGCTGGGCATGGTGGGGCACTCCTGGATCCCAGCAGCTTGAAAGGCTGAGGCAGGAAAATCAAAGTCAGCCTCAGCAAAAAGCGAGGCTCTAAGCAACTCAGTGAGACCCTGTCTCTAAACAAAACACATAAAAGGCCGGGAAAAAGCCCAAGAAGTGAACCCCCCCGAAAGCCAACCCCGGGAACCAACCCAACCCCCCCAAAAAAAACAGTCCAATGGAAAAGCAGCATTTCTCCTATTTAGACAAAGAAAGAGTCCACCAAGTATGTAACATTGTGCATTTATTTACAAAGAGGTTAGAGAAACACACAGAATCTGGCCCCCCTGTGCACGGGGGAGTCACCATCGTCATAATAAATACACTAATTTTTTAAAAAAGAAAAAAAAAACTGGAACAGCTGAGGGTCATCCAGCTTCCCCCACTCTCCCTCACAGTGGAGGCATGAGATAGAAACCATCTTCCTTCCCCTCTTTACCTCCCAATCCTCCATAATTGACCAGGAATAGAGGTGAAAGAGTCCTTCCCAGGTGTCGCCAACTCCTACTTGACCCTCAAAACCCCGAAGTCAGTGCTCCTTCCCTTCCCAGGGCACTCTGCAGGCACCACCTGAGTCAGACACAGTGTCTCTGACCTGGGTGCCAAGGGGACAGCCTAAGGATCCAGGGACATGAAGGGGGCACTTTGTGAATGAGAAGGGGACAAATCTGGGCACAGAAAGAAATGAGAGTGTTCAGGGAGAGAAGTGAAGGGAACAGACTATACTTCTACACTAAAAGGGGAAATTCAAACAGAATCACCCCTCTTGCAAACAGGGACACCTATTGCACAGATGAGGAAAGTGAGGCCCACGAAAGGGGAACTTTCTTGCTCCTGGGCTTGGAAGCCAAAGGCTGAATGGATGGATCAGGGTCCTCCCCTCATTCCTCCCTGGCGGGGAGGGGAGCCTTTCTAACCAGGACTGCTACTACGCATGGCAGGGAGTGAAGAGGGTCTTTGGAAACAGAGAATGGTGGTCTTTGGAAGGTGGGCATGGAAGGGCCAGTGATCAGGAGTGTGGAGGTGCAGAGGCCATAAAGGGGGAGCCCAAGCAGATCCCCAAACTCACACCGTTGTCATGACCTTGAGAGAACCCGAACGGAAACGCAGTATCTTCTTCTTCAGAGCGTGGGAGGCCTTGATCTTCACGAAGACTTTGGCGGGGCCTGCGGGCGCCCCTCCACCTGCACCCCCCACTGGCCCTGCGGCGGCGGTGGCGGCCACTAGCTGCTGCGGCCACACGAGGCCACCGCTGCCCTCTGAGTCGCTGGAGGCAGAGCTGAAGGCAGGCGACTCGCCCTCGCTGGCGCTGGACTCGCTCTCCCCGTAGCCGCCGCCCACGCCGCCCGGAGGCCC